TTTACACAACATCACTACTATGCCAAGGACGCAGAAGCATTGTCGTTTTTGAAAATCGGTCTACTGGCGGCAGAGGAAAATGCCTAAAACGATGAAAAAGTAAAAATCGCTCAAACTTTTTTTTTCGACGTTCACAGGCTTGTGATCATTTGTGAAAAAAAATTAAACGTAAAACACTTGACGGTCGGTGTTGTAGGGGGGTGGGGGGCATTTATAGGTTCCCAACGTTGGTAATTATGCGTACCTATAAGACATATTTCACATTTCATAGATTTCTCTGTATATTAGCCCTTGCTTCTATTTCTACCTTATTTGGGTGGCCATCTGAAGAAATACCACAAAACTCCTTGATGTTATATTAATACGTATCCCGCATGGCCATATTACTGTTTTGTTAGGTTTGCTCGCCAATTTGACGGAATTCTGAATTTTTATACGCAATTAGAGCGTTTCCCTTTAATTTACAGCTACATTCAGTAACCCCGGAATTATACAGATATAACTTGTAACACTTTAAAACTTTTTATGTTTAGTATCAATTTCTTAAAGTTTATTACAGGGGTTTTCGGTTACTATAGATCATGCCACTAAGATCAATTTTGTATCTCTCAAATTTCGAAGTGACATGTCAGATTGTCAAAATACCTATTGATGTACCTAAGGCGCAAAGAAAACGAGTCTGAGAAAGATTCGCAATTCCCAGTATATCCGGAGATGAGAATCCGACTTTTCCCAAAATTGGTTTTGTCTGTTTCTGCATTTATTTGAGATGGGATATCAAAATAAAAAGTAATCATCATCAGTCAATCATCACCTTTATTTTTTCTTTTAGACTCCAAGAATGTATAATATATTATTCATTGGCATCATCAAATCTAAGTTATTTCGAAAAAAACTAATGCTGTCATAGTTGGCTTTGAAAACTACAATTTGACCGATTGAATCACCTATGTTCCAATTTCTGAGAAGCGTGTTTAAAGGACATTCAGATAATTTGCTCATCTAGCCTTAATTTAGCACAATGGAGGCGCTCAACAGTAGATAGAGCTTGAATGCAAGATGTGTGCTTCGTTTTCAGTATGACGGATATGAAAAGTATTTAGGAAGATGCAACATGGTCGAGGCTTTTACTTACTCCAAAATATTTCTATCAGTTTTGTAAAATAAAACTGTTTTCTATGTTTTCAATACTACTTTTAGGTAATTTGAAAAAGTTTTAGCATTAGGTCATGATATGTATAATATCACATCATTAAGGTCGAATTTCGTTGCCTAGTTCATAAAAACTGAAGGAATGCTTAGCTGATGATATTATCAAGCAAATGACTATCTGATAATTTTGAGGTCTACATACGAAATTCTGTTATTACATTTAAAATACATTTTCTTTCTCAAATCAAGTCAGGGAAAAATAAAATTGATTTTGAGAAAATTCATTGTTTCCCTTATATCCGGAAATTCTTGTAATTGCGAAACCATTGTCTTAATTACCTAAATGCACAACTTTGCCCTTATTTAAGTTCGTATCTCTTTCCGTTTCCGAGATCTCAATGATGAGACTCGAATTTGAAACACCCGGTATAGACCGGACCATAGTTGCAGTTGTTGTTCTTTGCCTAGAAACAAATAGATTCGTCCAGTTATCGTGATCAGTTTGAGGATAGCTGATGGCGTTAAAGTTACTTCATCACCGTAGTGCGTAAAGAAGCCCTTTCCGTAAATTCACAAGTTTAAGTAAATTAACATCATTCTCTGACTTTGTCTGATATCTGAGCAACCAGATCTGACAGACCTACTGACTTACGATATTTTAACCAAGAGCAATGGTCCTACAGACCGCTGTGACAGACAATGAATAGAGACAAATATCATAGAAGCAAGAAGCTTTAGTTCCTAAACGTACCTCCTCGAGAATGGGTCTAGGTGAGTTATGAATAAAGACAGTGAGGACATGTATTATATAGTTAACAAATTCGAACCGCTTTAAAATATTAAAACACTAGAATGGGGAATAACTGTGTCCTAAATTAGTAATACTAGTTGCATGGTGTCACTGATAAAACAATATATAAGATGAACTAATAAATGCTGTTATCATTGAGAATTCCAGATGGTCTAATGCTTTGTGTTTCTGCTAGGTTTATAAATATGTGACTTCAATTATGGATAATGTACGAAGGCTGAGCGTGCTTCAGTCAAAGTCAATATTTTTCGAGGAAATATTGCTTGACTTAGGATTGGCAGTGTAAATATTTGAATAAGTAGAATGTGCGTTTTCTAGAAGGTCTCTCATATGATAGTAATCCATTTTCTAATTATGTGATACCGTTCATTTTCACGTTGTTATGAAACATCAGGAGATCCCTCTCGAATTATAAGCACAGGTATGGGTAGACACAAAAGGGAATGCTCTTAGTTCAAAAATATCTTGAAATGAGGGCCGTGTTTCTAATGCAGGTCACACACTCTCAGGTACACCTGATAGGTGCGCCTGAACAGTTACGCCTATCAGGTGTACCTGATACTACCGCACACACTCTTCATGTATACCTGTCAAGTTTGTCAGTTCACATCATGGATTCTCCAGCAGATGGTCTGCTCTTACTCGCCCTATTTTTTGTAATTTTTGGTGTAAGGAATGGTTGCAGAGAAGAAATAAATTTACCCATGTCAATCTCCTTAATGAATTAAGACATGAACCATCTGATTATAACAATTTGCTGCGCATGAACGAATCAGTGTACAACGAGTTGCTGACACTTGTATCTCTCTTGATTAAGTAGATACACAAATGAGAGCATTTTATTCACTAATTTCCTGTATGCTGCATCTCTCTTGTCTCTATGACAATAGTCATTATCTTTCACTTTCCACAAGAAAGGTTCACTTTTATAAATTTCAATGAAATCATCACATAACATCGTTGCGACGTTTTCCAAAATCTACCTAAGGATTTAAACTTTCCACATAAGGATTGTTAAGAACTGAGACCTGTTCAGGTTTCACCGCCACACACACACATCAAGTCTACTCGTCTGTCAGGCAGAACTGATCGAGTTTTCATCAGTTGACAGGTCGCCTGAGCGGCTAGTTATTCCTGCCATACACTATCAGGTACACCTGACAGGATTGTGTGTGACTGGAATAACACTTGAACTAAGGTCCATTTCTTAGTTGTAAGAGCTTCGTTTATTTGAAACCATGAAATTACAGGAACCTCATTTCAAGTACCTGTAATCTCGAATCAATGGAACCGTTTCACAGAAACTTGTGCTCTTGTACCAAGGGCACGCTTTTTTGTATGTATAGGACGCGGCCTGAAGTACTGCTCAGATGACTTGGATGCTGTTTCTCCGAGGGATGACCAGTAACCTGCTTTGGAACAAAAGATCTCAACTCGGGCATCTTTGAAAATCCGTGGATTACATATGGTCTCACTCTATTGTCTTTGTATTGCCTCAAATCGTCTTGATTTGCTACGGATCTCCTTGGGTTGTCTTGAAATTCAATGAATTTCATCGAATCTGCTCTCGCTGTGTCTACATCGACAAGTGGTCTGGTCTATTCAACCCATATGCCGGCAAGCATGATTTCATACTGCCACATTTTAGACCTGCGAAAGAGACTATCACGCTTCTGACTCTCGCTGTTCGATTGTTTTTTCTGACGGAGAGCTGGCTGGTATGACCACTACTTTAAGAATCTTCTCCGCTTTAATATTGGCTTGCCAATAATCATGAAAACCTAATTAGTATAAATATCTTACATCAGTCAAACCGAAAAGGATACTATAATATATATATATCTGGTTTCAAATAGACAAAGCCGGGCTTGTACCTCCTATTGTCTGAATTTTGTCGTTCGAACGAAACAAAGGTCTGTAACAAACTATAACCGACGCATCAACTTCAACGGAGTACGACGACCTCTGCACTTGAGAGAATTACGTCTGAGTTATGTCTGAGATAAATTGAGTATTATTTATATCGAAACAATAAGCCCAACACGGTTTCTGTGGAGGAAAACACAGTCATTAGGCGAACAACTGTAACTTGTAATATTAGACGTTAGGCAAGGCATTTTAGACTTGTATATCTTTATATCTTTTATTAGACTAAGGTGATTGCTGTTGCATAGCTTAAATTAACATAAGGATCACCCAGATTTTTAATACTCGGAATCTAGCTCGCACGACCCAACACACTTTGCGGTAACATGATAACCAGCAATTTTCATTAAACCAATAATAATACATTTCCGGCAAACACAAAGTTGGATGTTTCTAAACGTTTACTAATATCGCGACCATAATCCAAATGAGACCCAACATGGCTAGAGGCAATATCAAACCAGCCAGTTTCCGACGACTAAGGCGCTATACTCGGTTATACTACCAGGAGCATTTGTAGCTAAGGCTTTGAGCGAGTAAGCATATTCATATAAGGGAATGCCTGAAGATATATTAGGCTACCAGGTTGTCATATATGGAAATCAAAATCGACTCAATTTTGCAGAAAATCCAAAAATTAAAAAAAGTAAATATTGCTGACGCAGTCACCATCCAGACCTCCTCTATCTACCCACGTCATCAAAAAATAAAGCAACGCGAAGACCCTTTGATGATCACATAATACCTGAATGATTCCTTATGGGGCTTCAAAATGAACCCTCGTTCCCGTTTAAAAACGTATCTTCAACCGTCACTTCATACTTCAATTTCATCGGTGGTTAGATTCACAGCTTCATCTAGGTTTATCAAGAAGCTGGACCCTGGGACCTCGTTCGCATAAATTCACAAAAAATGCAATCTATGGCTTTTGAACGAGATTGCTGGACTGCCGATATTGCTATTTCTATTATTCATATCTTCCGTGGAGTCTCAAGTTGATCCCCTCTTTCCGTCCAAAATAAGATCTGAATTACGACCATCATCAATACCTAAAGCGAGTGCGTACCGCGTAGTACTCTGCTACTTTTGTGACATCTACCTACCATCAGTGGATCTGGATCCTTGCTCCTCGATCCTTCCGACATTCGTTTGCCCGTGGTCCGTGGCAGACCGCGATCGGTTGGTTCGGGCGCTGCATGTATCACAGTACGGCAGATAGTCGCGGACGGTTCGTTCCGTCGCAACAGTCGACGCGCCTTCACTTGTTTTCGATTGACGCGCGATGGCGCGCGATTCCACGCGCTGCCTCCGACAAGTTTAAAGGGATCGGAAGTGGGTTTGTTGTTGTTTTTGTGGTGTCACCGGAACTGGAGGATTATTATCGGAGGACTCATTTCTTTCCTAGAAGGCAACGGGGATTAAGTATGTGCAAGATGCACATTCACGAGAGATTGTCACTCAAACAGGTAGATACACTGTTTCTTATAATCTTCAGGATTTTGTTTTTGGCGCTCATGTCGTTTTCACATACCAACTGCTCTTTTTATTTCTGAGACTGGCTCGTGGCTGTCAAGGGCATTGAAAGCCAAGTTTGGTAAAACCTTAGAAAAATCATCTCGTAAAAGATTAATATGTAGATTACTTAGAAAAAGGTCACGACATATTCAAGGTCCTTAAAAAGCATGTAAGCTCTGTGAAGTCTATTTCTGTTTCTAGTTTACAGCAAAAGATATGAATTGCAAACTGAATTATCTTCTACTAGATACTAGAAGTATTTATTTATTCATCCATTAGATCAAATTTTCTAATTGTCTTAAAGATTTTAGCCAGGCTCTTGAACCGTATTTATAAAAATAAACAAGAACTGTTAACTGTTCACACCGATTTTCCAACAGAACTATTCCTCCTACAGAAATTAACAGTTGAAATAAGCCACAACGTCAAAAACCTTGATAATTCTAAGTTCATTACGTATTTCGTAAACATTTTCATTTTGATGAACCTCTCTAAATCGAATGTTATCAAACATCGTACTGCCAAAGTGAGTCGAAATTGTCATAAAAAATTTGGAAAAAAGTCTCTCATCAAAGCAGATATTTTTAAAACTTAATTCAAACTTTCATGGAGCTAGAAACTTTTGGTATTCTACTACATTTAACGCCAGGACTATTCAACTTACCCAATCAAAATTTGATACCTACTGTTAAGAATTTGATATATATGTAGAAAGCTAGACAACGAAATATGATAATGTTTAAGCCAGAAAATCTGAAATGACCTTGCGTTCTTTCACAATACGAAATAAAAAAAGTAATGATGGATTATTATTTAATATTTCTTATTAATGGAATGCATTGCGAAAAAAAAACAGTAAATCGATAAGAGCTGTTCGAACCAGGTTCCAACATCAATATTATAATAATACATTCTGTGTCACCTCCAGTCTAAATGCTATCTTTTTGCTTTGAGCGCTTGTGCTTGTCTTACGATTGGTCCAGTTTCATACTTACAGTGTTTGAATCGATTTAGATAAAAGTGGCAACATTATCATAATATAGGCATTTTCCGATAAAGCTTAGAGCTTTCGATATTCCAGATTGATGTGATACATTCACCATATTTTTAAATTATTATATGACTAAACTTTTGATGAGGAAAAGATCACGCATGTTTTTTTGAGTATAAGAGGACGTTGTACTTTATGGTGCAAAATTCCGAGAAAATACCTTTCGTAACATTCTAATGTGTATATTTGTCCTAACCAAGCACTGTTTATATACTCATTCATTTACACTTTACCTAATACTATAAATTATTGTGTACAGCTGAGACAAATTTATTTGTGTTTAATATTCCTGTTTTGAATTATGTAAATTTGTAAACACCATAGTGAGACTTGGGTGTAGGCTTGTAGATAAATGTGTGTTTTTTATTGCTTATCTATATCATAGATTTAACAAATAGAGTATTTAATCACTTTATTTGCAGATGTTATAGCTGTAACATTAAAAGTGCCAAAATTAAACAACTTACATTTTTTGAGATACCGGCTTTGCAAGCTTTATACCTAATATTCTACAACACAATAGCTTATCTGGAAAAAGTGGTGAAATATTGCAATATACTAGTCTTTGTCGATGATTCTCAATTATACAACAGTTTGAATAATCACAAAATTATAGTTGCAGAATCTCAAATAAATGAGGATGTTAAGGCTATTCACATTATAATTACGCAAAAAGTCATAACCTCCGTTTAAATCCTACAAAATCAAAAGGAATCATATGTTTCATGAGCAGCGTAAATTTTATTCCACATGTGAATCATATTACTAAAAGCTGTTTTTCGATACTTCGCCCATTATCCCCCGATAAACAAATTTTAGTCTACAAAACTAAGAAAATTCTAGGCTAATCATTGATCATTTCAAAAATTACGTATTTTACCATTCATTTTTAGATTCGGCATCTATAAAACGCTTGCAAAAAAAATGAGAATTCTTGCTGTAGATCAGTAGAAAACTTGAAAAGTACCACCATATTTCGATATATTTTCAGCAACTAGGTTGGTTGAATGTTACAAAATCATGTTTAGAAACTCCAAATTACTCCATTACCTCCATTTTAAAGAAAAAACTAATACATCGTTTGTGTGTTCATTCTAGAGATATCCGCTTCCCAAATACACTATTCACAGAATGTTATTTTTCCATAAAAGCTTCACTTTTATTGCGATCTATCTATATAATTCATTACACCCTGAAATTAAACCTTTAATATTTGATAACTTTAAAAGTAAATCAAGTATCTGCTTTTACAGTCCCAAAATTAAAAATACTTACCTATCTCTCGCTTTTGCTTACAAATATAGCATTTATTCAGTTATGAGAGCAGTTACATTATTTACGTGTAATACTTATGTTATATAGTCTTATTGTTATTTATTTTATTCATGTTTGTATTTCTGTTTGTATGGATTAAGCGGAGGAATAGCTTAAGCTAAACTTCGCGCAAAGAAAAAACGTTTATTATTATTATTGTTATTATTATTAATGTATAAATAATGAGATAACTGTGTACTTTCATTCACTGTGAGAGGTGTTTTGAAGATTTTCATTAGCATATGTCCTATCCACAGTTGATGTACTACAAAAAACGATATGGTATAACCATGGTTACTGGACGTTATACTTGTAGAATCGTCTTTGTTAGTTTTCTTAAAACCATACTTCAACAAAATTACTCAGGTGATGTGGAAACAAGGTGGAATATGAAACGTTTAAAGCGATAAGCGATAGTACATCATGGAACGTAAACCATGGCGTTTAGTAAAGTAAAATGCATAATAAGCTGACATACACTTTGTAACATTTAGTTGTTGTGCTATTTTCCACGTTTATTTAACAAATGATCACGTACCATAGCCGCTTATGAAAAGTCGTTTTTAAACCTGAAACAGCCCTGCCAATGAGACTTTATAATAGGTAACAATTTGGGTCTGGTTGATAAGTATTATTTGATACGGATATCCATATTACGCTTCTTGTTACGTGATGTCTTAATAATTAGAAGGATGAAAATGGGTTTTTTCGACAATACGGTATAAACTTATTCAAGTGAAGCTTTTTGGCAAACCATCTTCCCGCAGACGTACTTTTTTATTATATTCCTTCAAGAAGCAATTTGCAGTGATTTCACTCTACTCACTTATTCGGTACAAAGTCAGATAATCTATTCTGTACTTAATGCTCACATATCTTGGTTTACAGGAGGGCATTTCGACTAATTGACGACACTTCCTTAAGCGGTAGCCTCCACCATTTTTGTTGACAAACATTTGTTATTTAATTCTTTCCCTACGATGCTCAACTGAAACTTCTGCGGCCTCCTTGTTGGAGTCATTATATCTTGAATTTCGTAAACGGACTAATAATGCTTAAAGTCTCCAAATTTTGTGATTGTATGTTGTTCCAGTTCGTGACCACTTTTGAGCCGTAGTCAGACTTGTCTTTCAGAAAGGCAGAACAAATAATTATATTGGTAAATAAGTGTAAGGAAAACTGTTCAATCACCGTCCGCCAAATAGGAAAACTGTGAAAAACGAATAACGTATATTCTCTTCAGCAGCTTCTGCAAGTGACCTTCGAGTTTGAACATATAGCTCCCAGGCATCCATCAGTGTTTAATTCAAAAATTCAGAAATTGTTATTTGAGAAGGAATAAACAGGGTATATAAATAATTAATAAACATCGGAAATGCAGTATCTGACTTCAATAACAATAATTCATCCCATGAACAATAGATGTTTACCCGGCACTTATCGCGCAGCTCATTGTCTGTGGAGGTTATTGACTAACACAGATTATACACAAATACAAGCAATAATGATTTTATGAAGTATTTGGAGCGTTGAGTTGATAATTTTTCATTTCGTAACAACTGTATAATACGTTATGAATAGTGTGTACCTATTGCGAGTAGATAATTGCGTAAAAAATGTTTAGTTCTCATGTCGATCTGGCGAGTGCAATAACCGATGCTGCAACAATAATTGTTTTTAAATATAGTATTTAGTTTTAGTACACAGCAGAATGTGGGGCAGTGTCAATATCGTTATGCGGAAAACAGATTTACTCACTTTTATCAACACATTCCAAGTAGCTAACAATACTTTGTATGTAAGGTGTTACGATTTACCAAAAATGAGCTGTTTTTGAAAATGATCTTACTGAACGTTACTAAGTCAGCTTATTAATATAACTTTTTTATTGTTCTAGGTAAGGCCCACCAATGCTTCTTCAACACAATACACCTCAGCCTAAAGATTGGAGTTGCAAAGGTATAAAAAAATGAAATATAATCAAATATTGGCTACAGCGACATAATCGAGCGCCGTAAGCCATAAAAATATTAAAATCTCAGAATCCGGGTTCGTTAAATGCATTTTCGAGGAACCTGTTCATTGCATTGTTAAAAGCTTAAATAAAAAAGTTTACCAATCAAAATTGCATGCTTCCGATTATAACAATGTTTAACAACAATTAATAAGAAAAAATGAAGGCAAACAAAGTTATTCAGGAAGCAGTGGCGATGTTTCTAGCATCTAAGGTGGATCAAAAAATAATACGAAAAGTTCATTATTCAAATATGGGTTCCAAAATGCCTGCTTACTTACACACAGGGCGTTGAAGTTATAATTTAGAGATCTCAAGAAATATATATATTCGGGTTGCATCAAAATAATAAATTAAAGTTTTCTACATGTAGTATTTTCAATGTAGTCAATAAATACAACATTCGTTCGAGAGACTACACGAGTGGCGTAGAGATTGAGCAAATAAATTGAAAATTATTTTATACGCCGCTGGTTTTTTTAAGACGCCTATTGTATTTTTGAAAGACGAACTTGGTTTTAGATGACTCATCTCTATTGAGACATTTTTGCGAGACTTCCTCTTTTGGTTAA